ATAAGCTGAAACAGATTTTGATTATGCTGAAGCTGATAAGGAGGTCATGAGTTAAAGGGGCTTCAAAATTATAAGGAGAGGTGATTAGTTTCAGAGGCTTAGGAAGAGAACAGAGGGCAAGGAGAGCTGGAGGGACAGTAATTAAAGTGAAGAGCAGGAAGAGGCAGAACATATCCATGATGCACACAAAAGGTGGTACAAGCCGAGATCCTGTTCTTTTAAGAGATTTTTCACATATGCTAAAGAAACTGGAGGACCACTGGATAAATCAGAGCAGAAGAGAATACAATTCTGTGACACCCGAAGTAATCTAAATCCTTGTGATTTGTCATGTTTTTACATTGTATATTTCAAACTCTGTCAGTTTTCTGGGACTTAAAATGTCATTGGGTACCCAGACCAAGCAGTCCCTGTCTAGCTCAAATTACTAACACAGATGCAGCCAGAGAATCTCTAAATTGTGCCTCTACACAAGTGCAGCACTCAGTCAATATGCTTTTTCTCCATCTTTACATCTTAATATTTGGGGGATAGCTATAGGACAATTTGTTTACATTAATTATGTACGTCTGAGGAGATAACATTCAATATTCTTCTGTGCTGTAGATGTTTAATAAGTGACAAATGAACAGAGCATTCTTCTCAGAAACACAGTGAGTGATTTTTTTTTTTTTGAGAGAGATTATGGAGACTTCAGCATTTTCAAGACTGGCAGGACAATTGGAAATTTTAAGCACTTTGAGCATCATTATATGTATTCCCTTGGAGTCAACATTTTTTAGCAAAGAAACAGAGGAAAAGTGCTGAGTAAATGCAAGATATTTTCTCTTTGGGTATTTTTGTGGAAAATACCTGCTTTTGCTCCTTTTACTCATAAAAAAGGAAAAGTAAGGAGAATAAACTAAAGCTCACAGCTTAAGAAAAATGTCAAAGTCTGGGAATAGACATCATTATAAAATTTATCCACTATCCCAAAACTAGAAGCTCCTTTGCAAGCCTGCTGTTGAATTAATTTCCCCCTCTGTTGCTGTTAGTAGCACAGAGTGATTTTTGGCTCACTCCACCAGCTGAACCAAATACACTCGTCCTTCATGCACCCAACTTCTTAGCACCCAATTCCAAAGTCAGAAGCACAAGCTTTGGTCACTGCAGATGGATTGCAATCATGGAATCATAACATTGCAGAATGGTTGGGGCTGGAAGGGACCTCAAAGATCATTTAGTTTCAACACCCCTGCCTTGGGCAGAAAACCTTCATATTGCCTTCTGGGACAGTTACAGCTACTGAGTTTTATAATTCGTATTTTACAATTTTGAAATAGTGATACCTGCTAGTAGCACTGTTCAACCTCCCTAAAAGTATGTGTGGGTTTTTTTTTCTTTTAAATGAGTACAATCTTTTGCCAGAAAAGAGTGAAGAATGACACTCTCTTCTGTATGGTTACCCTGAGCAGTTTGGACATTTTTTCATTGCAATCCTATTAAGCTTTTAAACTATTAATTTATGTAAAAAAAAAAAAAAAAAAAAAAAAAAAAAAAAAAAAAAAAAAAAAAAAAAAAAAAAAATCCCAAACTAACCAAACCCAAACAGGAAATCCACCCAAAAACCTTAGAGTTATAAAAATATTCTTACAGAATAGGCAAGATTAGCATATATGGTGAGGTGTCTTATTTTGAATGACTGATAAAGACAAAACTCTAGTTTAATTTTGTCTAGTCAAGGGCTCTGAGGAAGTATTAGTAAGAAGGAATACTTTAACATTTTTGTTTTGACACAGTTCCAGTTGCTTACATTCATCTGACCAAAACAATACTGGAAGGTACATTTTTGAATGACAGCCACATATTTGTATATTTAAAACATTTGCAGAACACCATTTGTTTCAGGTTGATGGGTCAAGGGGCAACTATACAGTTTTTATTGCTGTGCAGCTAATGGCATAATTTCAAGAAGGATTTCATTTAAAGTTAGTAATGAAACCAATCTACCTCAAATAAAAAAGGTGATTCTTCTGTATTCCAAGGGAAGTCATTAGCAAGTCAAGAGAATATAGTATTTTGTAGAAAAATATTTTCTTTTTTACTTTACAATTTTTTTCCTCCCTAGGGTCAAGAATCCTGATTATAGCAACTGATGATATACCTAACACTCTAAATAGCTTAAAATATTATGTTTAAAAGAAAATAGAGTAGGCTCTCCCTTCCTTTTTGAAGAAATTATGAATACTTTGTGAGATGAGGGGGTGGGAATGTATGTTGTTATTATTGTTTGTCTGTTTCTTTGCATAGGAGCTGCAGCTTTTAACATTAAAAAAAAATTCCTACTTTCGTTAAAATGTCATAATTTCTGTCCTCCTTTAAAGAGGTATTGATAAATCAGCTGCTTTACTGCCTATTAAGACTGGTGATCCATATGGCAATTTTGTATTAAACAATTCACAACTTTAGACCAGATAACCACTGAAAATTAATCATCCACAGAGTGCTGAACTGAACAACCCTTTGAATCTCTAAAGAAGATCACCAGTCTATTAGACTTATATACTGTAATTACATTATATTTAACTGTATAATTTATAAGCTTTAAATTAGATCAACCATCTATTAGGCTTTATAAAAATTAAAAGTTATTCATCAGATTAAAAAGTAATAAAAATGAAATTAACCATATTTGGAATTTACCTCCCTACTAAATAGAGCAATTAGGATTTTAAACTTTTAAGAACAATGGGTTTAGCTGGTATCATCTCTTTGGATTTTTACAATAAGTTGGATGGGGATATCCTATTTTGATTCTTACAAATTCTGATATAATTCACTGTGATATTAAATCCTGTATAACTTTGGTTAATTTGACTTGTTCCTGTTTTGCACACATAAAAGGGGCAGATGAACCCAATGCAATTATCTTTTTATACAAAATCATAATGAGAATTACAACATGTACCTTATACCATCAGGTAGATAAGTTCACAGAAAAAAAAGTTGTCAATCCAATTTCTGACCCTTAGGAAGAAAAAATAAAAAATTGGTCTGGTTAAAATCCAAACCTTCTGGTAGATTTTAGCTTTTTGAAACAAAAAGTTGAGATACCAAGTAGTCAAATAACAAAGTAGATCTAAAGTAAGTGCAAAGAAGGAACTATCCCTCACAAAAAAAAAAAAAAAAAAATTGACTAATTTTTTCTGGATAATTTTATTCCAATTTTTTTTTTTTTTTTTTTTTAATATTCTTGTAGCTAGGTACTTACTACTTCCAGGTCAATTACTGGGTTTATGTCTGGATTGGTGGAATTAATTTCCAAGCCCCTGGTTATTGGACTGGGGAATTTTTGTCTTTTCCACAAGGACAACAACTCCATTTTCTCATGACTATGAACTTGCACTCCATGAGAAGAGCTTTGTTTTAAACCTCTGCTACCCAAAATGGAAATAGGAGAAAGTGAAGCTCTCTGATTACAATGTCTATGACAGAGCTAAGAAGCCTCAAGCTATGACAGCACCTGAGAAAGGTCATTCCCTGGTGTCCCATTCAATCTTGAGGAGGATCTATCAACACTGATATCAATAAAAAATTCATGAGCATTAAACATCTAATATTTGACAGCTGTACAAAACTAAATCTTCCTAAGCCAGATACCTCACCCCTTAAAAACAAAAGTCAGTGAAATGGAGTGTAATCTTACTAATAGCCCCTTGTCATAACAACCATAGTGGTGAATATTGTTTCCCCTCTTACTTAGCAATAACAACTCAAGCAACATTCTTGCCTTAATTCAACAAGTGATTGGCGATAGGAGTATGCATGGGAATTTTTATTTCTTATAGAATTTATCTGAAAACAGTGCTGACAGGATAGTCCCTCAAATACCTAAAACAGCCCCTGGGTAAACAACTTTGCTGTCTAAAAGATCACACATGCATATATTTCATGGGTTGGAAGTTGTAAGCTTAATGTTGAGAGCTCATGTTGTTTTCACCTAAATTTGTCATGTGAATTTGAAATGCAGCAATCTGTGTCACCTTGGGATGTTTGTATTGGGATATTTTATTGAAACTCTAGTCTGACAAGGAAGAGATGAAATATTATCTTAGATTTGTAGAATTTCAAGCCAGGAAGAATTCTACAATCAGCTAAAATGTCTTCCCGTGTATAACACAGGACCTCCACAACATGAGGAGCTATAATTTGGGCAGGGTGCCTAATCTGGCATTGGTTTAAATTTGGCAGTTATATGACCCTCATGCAGCCAGACATTTTGCTGGAAATGCTATAAATATATATTGTTCAGAATTGAGACTGACAACATTCAATCACTTTTATGGCTGATAGTGAAATAAGGTTGCTGTCTTCTCAATGATAATGTAACACTTCAATGACCTAATAATTTTAATATATTGGAACAGGTCTGATATTTAGGTTACTTTAAGAATTTGATATTAACCACTATTATCTTGATTTTTTAGATATGCTTTATATTTTTTCTATTAACATAGATTAGTTAAAAATAAGTGGAGTAATAAATCTATGTTTTCTATGAATTTCCATACAGAACCAGGTTTGGAACCTGACAAATCTGACAGACCTGAAGCAGAACACTGAGGTAAGAGAGCATTCTGTGATTCAATTGGATCATATAGAATTGTCCTAATATGACTATTTCTAGTGATATCTATGATGACATTTTAAGGACAAATGTTTTGTATTGATTACTTTTCCAAACAACAAATAGAAACTGTAGACTACTCTTGTTATTTGTTCTCAATTTCAAGTTTTCACAATGGGATGATCAAGCATTGCATTTTTATCACTCTACATTATGATTATCTGTTTAAAACTAATTTTAATTTTCCCTTTTTTTTTTTTTTCCCCTTTNCCCTTTCTGTATAATGTCTCATATCCCCAGTTAAGTTAGAAGTGGTCATGCTCCTTATTAAAGACTACACTCTTGGTTAGTTCTTAAACACTACACAGCTGCTTGTTCCCTCCCACAGAGTGTAATGGAGGAGAAGATTGGAAAAAAATTAAAACTCAAGGATTTAAATCAATACAGGCAGAATGGACCCCCTGCAATCCAGGAGGAAGTGGTTAGTGGTCTGCTGAGCTCTGTATTGGGGCCAGTTGCATTTAATGTCTTTATCAGAGATCTGGATGAAGAGATTGACCTCACAGGCAGGTCACAGATGGCAGCAAGCTGGGCTGGAGTGTTGATCTGCTGGAGACTGGGAAGGCTCTGTCTAGGGATCTGACAGGCTGGATCCATGGACCCAAGGTCAGCTGTTTGGGGTTCAACAAAGCACTTGGGTCACAACAAGCCCTGCAGTGCCACAGGCTGGGGGCAGAGTGGCTGGAAATCTGTCCAGTGGTAAAGGACCTGGGGGTGCTGGGGATGTTGGCTGAACATGAACTGGAGTATGCCCAGGTGGCCAGGAATGCCAGTGGCACCTGGGTTCTATCAAAGCCAGTGTGACCAGCAGGACCAGAGAAGTGACCCTTGGGATGGTGAAGTCACACCTTAAGTGCTGTGTCCAACTTTGGCCACTCACAATGAGAAAAACACTGAGGTGGTGGAGCTGGTGAAAGGTTTTACAAGAAGCAGCTGAAGGAGCTGGGGGTGTTCAGTCTGGAGAAAAGGAGGTTCAAGGGAAAATATTATTCTCTACCATTACTTGAAAGGAGGTTTTAGCAAGATGGGTGTTGGTCTCCCCTTCCAGAGAACTAGTGACAGGACAAGAGGAAGTGTTTTTAAGATGGGCCAGAGGAGGTTTAGATTGGATGTCAGAAAAAATTTGCTTACATGCGAGAGGTTGTCAAACACTGGAACAGGTGGCCCTGAGAAGTTGTGTCAAAATCCCTGGAGATATTTAAAACATGTGCACTTAAGGGCATGGTTAAGGGGTATATTTGCTAATGTTAGGTTAATGACTGGACTCAGTGGTGTTAAAGATCTTTTCCTTTACAACTTCAATTATTCTATAATTGTATCACTTATTTCAAATAGATGACTAATTATTGTATTGTGCTAATTATTTTACAGGTAATGCAAACCTGTTTGTTTCCTTTTTGTTGCTCTTATCTTTATTTTTCTCCTCCGTTTTTACATATTTCCTATCTAATACCAATTGTGAATCAGGTGTCATTATTACCATGCTTTTTCAAGCCTTTTCTGTCTTTTTAGTCATCCTGTGTTATATATTATGATGGGATTATTATGATAATGTTTTAGTGCTTACACTTTATCTTTGTCCTTCTATTTGTTCCCTGTTTGCATCTATTTTGCATTTCTATGTATTTTCTCTGTATCATCTTCAAATATTGTTCTACAACACAGTTATCTGGCATTATTAAAGATGACTTTTTAAAGTTATATTTGTATTATGACTATGATATATCAAACATACCAATATAACATAATATTTGTAAGTATTAGCTTTGTGTATGTTTAAACATCATAGTTAGAACTAGCACCTCAGTGAATTGAGAGATTTCCTTTTAGAGACTTCATTATACTCTTTTGCCTTAACTTTTAATGTTCCATTCAAACTCATCCTCTTACTTTATATTTGCTTTTGATAGGTCAATCCACATAGACCAAAAATTCTCATTAACATACTTTATAGCTTTCCCACAGTTTGAGATTCCACTCTTTTATCTCTGTTAGCAAGATTTTGGTAGTTTGCAAATTACTTGAAGATTCTGAATCCACATACCACACACTCTCTTTTCACTGCTCATTATCCCAATAGGTCTATAAAGATAACAATAGTGAATGTGGCAAGAAAAATAAAAGCTCATTATCTTCACAGATTGCTAATACTCAGAAAACTGTAGTAAAGTTGTGTCAGATCCTGCAAATCCTATTCACTTTCTTCTCTCCTTAACAAGTCAGTCATAGAAGAAAACACCCATGACTGCAGTGTAGACATCTATGTTTCAACCAGACAGGCCAGACTCGTTTTATAATCAACATAGAGAAATGGGCCTTTCTAGGTATTTATTTGTTTTGTCCTAGTTTAGATACATGAAGAATATATGAATTACAATCTAGCAGTGCCCGTTTCTCTCAGACTACAAGGACAGCATGGAGAACTAATTGAATGTATGGAGGTTTGCACTAGAGATATAACATTAAGTTGAGATGAATCCCACTTCCCGTAGTAAATGGTGAAACCCCAAAACCTCTTAGAAACATATGCATAGCCAAGAGATTTGGGAGGAATGTCTTGGTTATGCAGAACTTCATACTTTGACAAAGAGCTTTCAACAAGAAGTGTCTCTCTTGCTTTTTTGTAATCTTTTTGTTCCAGTTAGGTGCATGTTTTTATCTCACAAGATTTGCAGGTAAAATGTAGTAATCAGAGAGATGACTAATTGAAATTTAGGCAACAAATGTATGTACTTTAACACTGTTTTTCACATATATTGTACTGGTGTTATACATCTATACTGCAATATGTGAGACTTAGCCCTATTCATCACATATTTGTGATGCATTTGCTTTTGCTTCTTGTAAACTAGAATATTAGGCTCATTTTGTAAATGGAATATATATTCATATGCTTCAGGATTTATTAATTTTAATGCCAGAAGGGATTATTCTGATCATTTAGTCTGATCTACTGCTTAATCTATGCAGAGAATTTCCGAGTTTCAATATTTTTTGAAATAAACAACACAAATTACGATACCCAAAAATAAGTTTGATGAGGAGCTGACTAGTAGATACATCATTTTTGTGCATCTTTATGCTAATGCAGGTATCCCAAAACAAAACATAACAAACACATAAAGTAGGACTGCTCATTTGTGTTAACTCCTTAAACAGCCTTTCCCTCCCTCTAGGGAGAAAAATCTCATCCTGCTTACAGCTCTCTTTGCTGCAAAAGCATTTTCCAATCACATGGATGAGGTCATGCTACAACTTTCCCTCTAACCCTTCACCAACTCTCCCTTCTCAGATACATTAAAAACAAAGTAGAGGTGTTTGCTTCCAAGACTCTTTCAGGCTATCATTTCTGTCAAACAATCCCCAGACTTCAAGTCCTTAGACTGGTTCTAGCCTATTTGAAAGACCTCCAGAATACACGAACTAAGAGCTTGCCTGAACATTTCCTTTATCTTTTGATATCTTAATCTCAGAACACAGATATTTGTTTCCTGTAATTTAAGCCAAATATGTCTTTCCTACCATGGTTATGGAGTGGGAAGGAAAGAATGCTCTGGATTTTTGGATATTTAGAGACTATTACTGTGTAATTTTAACAGTTGCTTCCTTAAAGACAACATCTGGGCCATGTATTATACAACAGAATCCAGAACTCCAGATATTCTTCAGACTTACTAAATGTTTTCCTTCTTATTGCCTTTTAAGGCTGGAAGAACTCTACGAACCACTTGTCTCATTAAGACTTTCTTTTAGCCAGGCTATCAAAATAGCTATCAAAAAAAAAAAAAAAATTGGCTCTACAACCAAATGTACAGCTCTCAGCTGCTGTACCTTGGAGTAACAACATTTCTTTCCACTCATCTTGTTGCCTACAAATATATTTATCTGTCCTTCATTGTTTCCCATGTAGAAAAGGAGTCCTGTTTTGCAACTAAAGGATCACAGTACAATTGTTACAATTTTTCCAAAGTTCTTTATAACTTGTGTTTCTCTATGAGGCAAATAATCCAAAATATAATTAATAATATCCACGTCTATGAGCAAGTTTGATGAAGTTTTTAAGATACTCCTAATGGAATGACATTAATGCCACAAGCAAATTCACTGATAGATTTATAAATGTGCATATAAAAAAATATATATATATATAATTTATGTATTTTTGAACAAGAGCCTGAATTTTTTCAGCATGTGTTAAGTTTTGGTCCATTAACAGCTCTGCTAGTATAAACAAATGATAATGATAATCAATTACTTCTTGCTTTTTGTCTTGAAGTATTGCACAATAAGAATATGTAAAAAGTAGTTTGAAGTGATTTTGGACTTATGTATGAAAAAATGTACTAAAAAAGAGGATTTTTTATATTCTTAAAGATGTAATAAAGATTATCCCTGGCACCTGAAAACAACTCATGCTATAACCTGACTCATTTAGTTGTACAAGTAGAAAAATAATCCTGACTACTAGTTTTTCATGCAAAAATAAATTAATTTAAACTGCTTCTAAAAAAATATGAGAAGGAGGTGTCAGCACTTTGTGAAATGTGAAAGCTTCCTTGGAATAATAGGCATGTCAAACTGCTGTTTCCAGTAAAAGAAGTCATAGATTAAAAAGCCATCCTGTAATCTCTCACTTTTTGCACACTGTGCTGGAGCCTGTTCATTTGTGTGTGTGTGTGTATGCATATATATGTATAAATATGTATATACATATACATATGTGTGTATATATACATGTAAATATATGTATGTAATACATGCATATATATTAAAAACCAAGGGCTTAATTATGACTTTAATTATCTGTGCTTTCTGTGCTATCACCTCAAATTTTCACTGCCTGAAAGGAAAACTGATTGACCCTCACAGTGTTTCTAAGAGTGTTTGGAGTAGTTTCATGTATGAATCATGGGATGGAGAGACTGCCACAACTTTTGCCTACACACACTATTAGGTTTTGTTCTCTGCATTTTGGTTGTCCAGGTGCCCTGCATGTTGATTTTCTCAACTATATGTATTATTTAAAATTCTGACAAAGTCTGCAAAACACCTTGATCTGGGAACAAAAAATTGCTACAGGTGGTTATTTTATAAACATCCTGTCTATGAAGTATGATTGTAGTTACATTGTCTTGGGTTTCATCTACAAATCATATGATTTTTATTTCCATTTTCTGATGCCTAACCGTATGACACATAATTTAATTTAATTATTAGAAACCTCTCATATTCCAGGAAATAATTTTAAGCCAATATTCTTCTTTGCAAGCTCTTTCCATTAACATTAGTTTTGGTAGGTACCTTTACCAAATTCTACTTTTACCAACTTTGGATAGCCCTTTTTGCTCCACCAGGTTTATCCACTGCTATGTGAACACAAGTGGAATGAGAAGTTAACCAGAACAAGTGAGTGTATTCCAGCTCTTAACAAGAGAAACCTGTAATTCTGACATTTCCTGGTCTGAATAGAAAACCTGTGAGCTGAGTGCTCTGAGGTAATATAATA